GTCATTCTTGTCGGTTTTAAATTGGATCGCTCTTTTTTAAATTTTATCGAAGGTAAATTTTCGTATAATGTTATGTTTTTATTGTATATCTATATTTTTTAAACTTTTTCAAAACTTTTGTTTTCTAGGCTCTAATGATGGAAAATTATTATTTCCGAAACGTTCGCGATTAAAAGAAGCCTAACTTGGTCAAGATATTTGTGTTTTCCCTGGTTCTCCTCTTCGTTATAAAACTACGCTTTCCAATAACAAGTCCATTGCTGAAGTTTTATATATATATATATATATATATATATATATATATATATATATATATATATATATATATATATATATATATATATATATATATATATATATATATATATATATACACCTTGATTTGTATTACTCTCTCTAGTCTGTACTCACCCCTGAAGATGTGAATTACACGAAAGCGCTTGGGAACTTCGTGTTTTCTTCTTTCCTTGTGGTTATCAGCATATATCACAGTGATTTACTTGCATATATATATATATATATATATATATATATATATATATATATATATATATATATATATATATATATATATATATATATATATATATATATATATATATATATATATATATATATATATATATATATATATATATATATACACACCTCGTCATTGCATTATGGGCAAGGTCGTGACGGACATAAACAGGAACAAGATGAAATATTAATAAAAAATTAATCTGAGAAGTTAACAAACTTCCGATAGTTTATAGGCCTCCCTTTTCTCTTGATACATTCCTGCAAGCTTGAAGGAACTGACTCTGCCAAGTTGTGGATTATTTGTGGGACTAAATTATTCCACTCCTCACGAATGGCTGCCTCCAGCTTGGGGACGGTATTTGTGTCCTTGCCTTGTAGACGAAGCTTGGTAAATGCTCCACTTATTTTCTATTGGGTTAAGGTCAGGCAAATTGTTTGGCCAAACACTTATGAGGTCTACCTGACAGTCAACAAGCTACTATATTACAGATTTTTCTGTGTGACATGGGGTACCATACTGCATAAACACACCAACACAGCCTTTTTCAAAAGACCCGGGCAATTAATCACAAAGCAGCTCCAAGTTGTTAAATTGGTTCATCATCACATTCCTAGGTAGCACAACAAGATCACCAATTCCAAAGTACGAGAAGCAACTCCACACCATTAGTGTCTCAGGATGCTTAACTGTGCTAAAAGTGAACTTAGGGTCAAGCGAATCACTCCCAGGGCACCTGTTCACATCAAAAGTACGACTTCCAGTAAAAGAAAATGTTGCCTCGTCACTCCACAGCACACGTGCTGCCACTTGGTCATATCAGATTGAGCGTTAGAGGATAGTGGTCTATCTCCCTTCTTGAAAATCGTTATTAAATTTGCTATCCTCCAGGATTCTGGTACTACACCCGTTTTTAAGGACATGTTCAACAACTTTGCTAAGGGCATACTAAGCTCTTCCTTACATTCCTTTAATATTCTGGCAATTATCTCATTGGGACCTGGTGACTTATTAGGCTTTAGTTTGTCTATTTGCTTACTAACATCGTTACTAGTCACTACTATCTCTCTTAATGTATTTTCTTCACCATCTCTGTATAGAGTCAGTGCCTCAGGAATCATGTTTAAATTTTCGGTGGTGAAAACTGTTGAAAAATATTTATTCTCATTATTGATCATTTCTCTGTCGTTATCATTTAGCTCGCCGGTATCCGACTGTATTAGTCCAATCTGTTCTCCTGTTTTAGTTTGATACATTTGATAGAGTCCCTTGGGGTCTGACTTCGCCTCCCTTGCTACCTTCAATTCATTATTCCTCTTTGCTTTTCTTATCTCGGTCTTAACCCTACCGGCAATACCTTATAATAATCTCGGATGTAAACTTGACCATGATTTATTTTCCTACCTATAGCCTTCCTTTGTCCAATGATGTTCTTTAAATAATTATTTATCTATTTAGGGTCATTGTTGTTTGATCTGAGTTTTCTGTAAGGCATGTTGTGCCTTTGTGCATTAAATAACTCATTATTTAAATTGTTGTGGAACTCGTCAACCTGAGATCTTGTTATCAGGTCATCCTCAACCGTGAGGTCTCCAGGTAAGAACATAAGAACATAAGAACATAACATAAGAATGGAGGAAACTGCAGCGGGCCTATTGGCCCATACTGGGCAGTTTCATTTACACCCAACCCCTATTGCTCATATAAGCATCCAACCTATGTTTGAAGCTATCCAGCGTATTCGAGTTCATGATGATATTTGGTAACTTGTTCCATTCATCCACTACTTGGTTTCCAAACCAGTGTTTACCTATTTCGCTGATAAATCTAAATTTGTCTAATTTAAGACCATTGTTGCGAGTTTGCTCCTGGTTGGAAAGTATGAGTACCTTTGTAATGTCCCCTTTGTTTAGCCCTGACTTCCATTTATACACCTCGATCATGTCGCCCCTCACTCTACGTCTCTCCAGGGAGTGCAAATTAAGATGCTTTAACCTGTCTCTGTACTCAAGGTTCCTAATGCCCGGGATTAGTCTTGTTATTCTCCTCTGAATTCTTTCCAAGGATTCTATATCCATTCTGTAATACGGTGACCAGAACTGAACTGCTTAATCCAGGTGAGGTCTCACAAGCACAAGATATAATCGTAAGATGACCTCGCTAGTCTTGCAACTAACTCTCCTTTTATGAACCCAAGTACATTATTAGCCTTGTTACGAGCTAAAACACATTGTTTACTTGGCTTAAGGTTCCTACTTATCATTACTCCTAAATCTCTCTCGCAGTCGAATTTCTCAATGGCATCGTTGTTCATCTGGTAACTGGTTTCCCTGTATACATCTCCTATACTGAGTACTTTACATTTGTCCACATTGAATTTCATCTGCCATTTTTCAGACCATTCGAAAAATTTGTTTAGATCTTCCTGTAGTTTTGCGGAGTCCTTGTCAGTTTTAATAACACGTCCTATTTTAGTGTCATCAGCAAATTTACTTATGTTGCTGTCTATGCCGATATCTATGTCGTTTATGCATATAATAAATAATAATGGTCCAAGTACTGAGCCTTGGGGAACTCCACTAGTGACGTTCCTCCAATGGCATTTAGTGCCGTTAATGCTCACTCGCTGTTTCCTGTCCTGTGACCACGCTTTAATCCATTTAAGGATATTACGTTTGATACCATGTGCTTCTACCTTTCTAATTCGTCTTTCGTGGGGGACTCTGTCGAAGTCTTTGCTAAAGTCGAGATATACCACATCATAATTGTGCCCCTCGTCCACCGATTCGAAAACTGATGAAAAGAATGTTAATAGATTAGTTAGACATGAACGCCCGCTTGTGAAGCCATGTTGGGAATCATTGATCAATTGGTGCTTCTCCAGGTGATTTCGAATAGAGTTTGAAATGATTGCTTCCAGTAATTTGCCTACTATTGATGTTAGACTGATTGGGCTGTATTTAGAGGATAGTGATCTATCCCCCTTCTTGAAAATCGGTATTACATTCGCTATCCTCCAGGATTCTGGTACTACGCCTGTTTTTAAGGACATGTTAAACAACTTTGCTAAGGGCATACTAAGCTCTTCCTTACATTCCTTTAATACTCTGGCAAATATCTCATCAGGACCAGTTGACTTATTAGGCTTTAGTTTGTCTATTTGCTTACTAACATCGTTACTAGTCACTACTATCTCACTTCATTTGTTTTCTTCACTATCTCTGAATAGAGTCGGTGCCTCGGGTATCATGTTGAAATTTTCCGTGGTGGAAACTATTGAAAAATATTTATTCAGATTATTGCTCATTTCTCCGTCATTATTAGTTAGCTCGCCGGTATCTGACTGTATTGGTCCAATCTTTTCTCGTGTTTTAGTTTGATACATTTGTAGAATCCTTTGGGGTTTGTCTTTGCCTTCCGTGCTAGCTTCACTTCATTATTCCTCTTAGCTTTCCTTATCTCGGACTTAACCCTACTGGCCAATACCTTATAATAATCCCGGAGGTAAATTTCGCCACGATTTATCCTTCTTCCTATAGCCTTCCTTTGGCCAATAATGTTCTTTAAATAATTATTTATCCATTTTGGGTCATTGTTGTTTGATCTGAGTTTTTTGTATGGTATGTTCTGCCTTTGTGCATTAAGTAACTCATTATTTAATTTGTCGTGGAACTCGGCAACCTCAGATCTCGTTATCAGGTCGGTTTCAATTGTCAGTTCCAGGTAGTTCACCCCCAAGTGTGATACCCCTTCTCTCAACTGCCTCTTCAAAGTATCAAAGTTTGCCCTTCTGAAATCTGGGACTTTTGTGGAATTTTCCTTACGGCTGCCCTGAAAATCTAACTGGAATCTAATTTCTTTGTGATCGCTGTTTGCAAGTTCGTTCCCTACCTCGACATGACTAATGAGGTTTTCTCTGTTCGACAGAACTAAATAGAGTATATTAATACCCCAGGTGGGTTCGGTTATATGTTGACTTCCCACATATACACACTAATGCTCTTCATTTTTATTATTTTATTGTTTATGTTATATTTTATTTTTATTTTTAAGCTACATTAGAGTATTGTAATGATTTTTCTACATCTTTTGTAGTTTTTTACATCTAACAATATGCGAAGCATTTGGTCTGGCGAGTCGTCGACGTAGTTATAGCCAAGGCCCACCGCCTCCATGCACATTCACTTGTCACACGTACACATCCATGCTGTTCATATTTCTTATTTATAGCTTTATAATACATTTTCTTTAATTCCATGCCACATAATTTAAGTAGAGTGGAATAAGTGTTAAAGAAGTTCATTTTTCAGACACATGAATTTGCGAGGTCACCCTGTAACACTATGCATTGTAGGGTTTATGAATTGATCATTCATTATCTGTTACGCTCTTTACTATTTCATGATAATGAAGGTACACAACATATGTTACATTTTTCTGAACATGTTCTTAACTTGATATATTTCATGTCTTCCTATAGCCAGGACAGCTTACCAAGGTAAGTACACAATGTTGGAATATTTTTAATACAGATTTTTTATGTTTAACAATCTTAATCATGTTGAAGTAATGATTCCTATAACACATATTTAATTAAAAATTTTCAGTGAAGGGATGAACTCATATTGTTATATACAGGCAGTCCCCTGGTTACGAATGAGTTATGTTCTTGTGGACGTTCTTAAGTCGAAAATGTACATAAGTCAAAACACATACCCTATGTGTATATTGTACTTCCAGAACAATGTTTAAAATCCCACTACAGTATATCATATAATAGCCTAAGTCCTTATACTGTATACTTCTAAAATCATTTAATTTAAAAGAAAAGAAATAGACTGAGATAATACAGTAAATGAAAGTTTCTTTACACCATTTGCCTCTGTCTACCCAGCAGTAAATGGGAACCTAGATGTTAATCGATTTGCGGATCGTATTCCGGGGTTATGGTTATCCAGTGCAGTTGGCGAGTTGTCCGGTCTTCTCGGACTATTCCTTGACACTGGGTCATGCAGTTCGTTAACTTAGGGTGTGGTTGAGGTGTTGGCGACAGCTTCTACACCTTAAACAAATTTACGCCTAGATGGCCTTGGGCCGGCCATCCTCGTTACACGAGGGGCACTAATGTCTGACTTAAGTCTGCGGCAAAAGCTTGCTTAGCTCAAAATCTTAAGGAAGAGCAAAGTGAAGACAAGTTTGCATGCTGAAAACAAACTTACGATTGTTGTTGCCCAAGACAGTCATGGCTAATGACTGTATTCTGCCATGTCAGCTGACATCCATCAACCAATCAGAGTGCATGTCACAAATATTTTTCTGTCCCTTCAGCCAATCACATAGAAGATGTTATGATGCAATAGCACTACACTTGGAACACATGGAAGACAACATTCACCACAATGTTACGGCCACACAATATTATCTGCGAGTCAACAAAATCACAACTGAGGTTTATTTATTCCTTTATTATATATTTTATACATTCTTTCTCTACTCTTTTCCGTAATAACGTTTATTATTTATTTTTCTACTTTCAATCAATCATATTCTGTTCTTTCTTTATTAATATTTCTTTCATTATTCCTCTTACCTTCATTCTTCATATTTAGAGAGAGATATATAGAGAGAGCTATAGAGTGGTATAGTGGAGTGTGGTGTGTGGAAGTGACCGTTACCCTCCCAATTTTGTGTAAACAAAAGAAGTTGGTAGAGATCTGAAGCACCATTCCTACAAAATTTTATTCTAAAGAAAAATAACAAAATATGATAGTTTTTTGTAGATTGCATTTAAAATACCTTTCCAATGTATTATATTATCAAAATTCACAAAAGACCGCACACTACAGCTAAAAGCAGTGTTGGCCAAGTGAACGCACGTCCCGTTTGCCCACTTACGACAACTCAAGAGTGGAATTAAGTTTCCTAGATCTCACACTCTAGCACTTAAATTGCTTTGCGCATATGGTCTTAGCTATGACGACTTAAATGTGCTTACAGAGAGTTACGAGCACCAGCAGAGACTTATGTGATTTAAATATGTTAGTGCATCCAGGCCATTCGGTTGGCTTGTATGTAGAGATGGGCTTTTTTAAGAGGGGTGAGCGAGGCTTTATTGGGATGAAACTGAAGATGGTGATGATGGTGTAGATATTGATGAGATTGTTTCTGGATACTCAGCTGAGGTAGAGGAAACTGGTTCTGGAGTTGCTCGAGAGATGCTGCAGAGGTTGATGGTACTGGTTTTGGCTGCCTTTTGACCTTCTAAAAAATATAATCAAGGGATGTTTCAGCTGAAACTATCTTCTTTTCTCATAATTTTCTCTGTACCATCGTAGACATTCAGTAATACAGTACCTCTATGAACCTTGGTGAATCTTCTTGTGTTGGGATCTTGCTGTTGAAGTTTAAATAATCCTTCTTCAATAAGCCTGAAACTATTTGGCATATCTTTTGTAATGAATCCCTTTGGTTTTGGAGTTTCAGCTCCCTCTACATCCTCTGACATAATTTCCTTCTCCAGTTCAATAGGTCCTCAGTGCTTAATTCTTCAGCATGAGACTCAAGCAACTGTGTAACATCATCCTCACAAATGTCAAACTGGAGTTGGTTCCCAAGGTCTACCACTTCCTTTGTCACTTCTCCAACATCATCTTCAAAGCCTTTGAAATCGTGAACAAACTGTGGACAAAGTTTTTTCCAAATACCATTCCTATTGGTTTCTTTTACCTTCTTTCACAGCATTATAAATGTTGTATGACTTCTTTCTGTTGCCCTGATAGCTTGAGCAAATGTCCTTCTCATGTAATATGCTTTATATTAAGCAATAACTCCCTGGTCCATAGATTGTAAAACAAATGATGTATTTGGAGGTAGGAACACAACCGTAATGTTGGGATGAACATCATCTAAAAATACAGGATGGCCAGGCGCATTGTCGAGTACCAATAAAATCTTTAAAGGTAGTGACTTTGAAGGGCCAACATCACCCAAGCCTTCTCATCAGCTTTCCAGATAACTGGAAGTGATGCCTTGAAAACACCTTTCAAAGCCCGAGGATTTTCTGACTGGCACTCAAGCAAAGGTTTTAGTTTTAGTCCTCTGCTGCATTGCCCCCTAGCAGTAAGGTCAACCTCTCCTTGGAACGTTTATGCCCTGGTACTGTTTTTTCTTGTCTTGCAAGGTACGTGCGTTCGGGCACCCTTTTCCAAAATAAACCAGTCTCATCGATATTAAAAACTTGTTCAGCACAATAACCCCCTTCTTCAATTATTTTAGCTAAAGTATCAGGAAATGCTGCAGTTTCATCTGCACTAGTCCTGCATTAGTTCACATAACCTTGCAATAGGGTCCTTACAATTTTGTTTTTGTTTTTGTAGTTTTTATATCTGTGATGGGTGCTGAATAAAATTCTAAGTGCTGCCACCCTGGTACCCGTCAGCATTTTGAATAATACTGTATGAAAATTAAGTCAGCCATAACTGAAATTCATTTTTTTTGCAATATTTCCGTAACTACAAGGAATACAGTACAATTAAATACCTTATTCTGTAAATGGTGTTTATACCCATGTTTTCAGTGTCTACAAATAAAACAATAGCATAAATAAGATTTTACAACTATTCTTTTATTCAAAATATGCAAATTAAGTTATATCATTATATCGTACTCAATTACTGAAAGTAAAAAGGAACAACTCATTTAATTTATAGACCCTGTAAACATGGGTATAGAGACCATTTATTTAATCATATCTGTGAGAGGTTTAAATAATATACCAGGTTCTTGGGAGACATTACTCCTGCTAGCGTCAGACAGTAACTGGCAACCCAGCACTGCCACAGACAAACTCCTGCCTTCACACATGGGCAAACTTATTGTACGATGTTACTCTATCTTATAATCTCACATCTACCCCCAAATTAAAAGGAAATAATGCACATTTGAACTAACGAAAGGAAAACAAAGCAGTGACAAAAAAACAACAAAGCAAGAAAAAACAAACAAAGACATTTTAGTAGGCTCGGAGAGAGCGAATAAGACAAAAAAAAAGCAAGGAACAGAAAAAACTCAAAACTCAAAACCACATAGTCAGCCAACCAACCCGGGCCTGCGGGCTCTCCCGGGCCTGGCCTGGCCTGGCCACGCCCGACTGGGAAGGGGCCGGGGGGGGGGCGAGCGAGGGCACGGATACGGAGGGCGCCACGCCACAGAAGGGGGGCCAGGAGGCATAGCGTGGTGCACCACGGGAGTGGTAGGCATAGGGGTGGCACCGCATCACAGGTGGCGTCTGTTGTGAATGGACACCCTGCCACTGCCAGTCAACCTGATGGCATACTGCCTGGGAGGGCGGGCTTCCACCACTGCGCCCGTCCTGTCCCAGAGCTTGGTGGCGGCTTCCTGCACACGCACCTGCCAGCCCACAGCTAGGGGAGCCAGCTGGCGGGACACCTCCCCCCGCGACACAAGGATCCCGTCCTGGGCTTCAGTCAAGCGCACCTACCTTATACGAAGCGCCCACCTCCAGTGCTGGTCCACCTTATAGTACTGTCTGGCCACGGGAACGCCGTCATGGAGCTGGCAGCCGGTGGAAAGTTGGGCGGGCGACTTGTTCACCCCCTGGAGAGGCGTGTTCAGGTACTGGGGGAGGGCCTGGGATGTCCTATCACAGTCCAGGCTGCCCCCAGGCTCAGTGTTATCCCCGAGGAGCCTCTTGGCTGCCTTGACCCAGCCTCTGCCCTGCCATTGGACTGGCTTAAGTGGGCTGACGAGAGCCGCACCTGGACTGCCCATGACTTGAGGAAATCCATCTGTGGAGATCTGCTCAGGTACCCCCCCCACCTCGTGAAGTAACCCAGCAGACTGGAAATGATCTTGCCAGAGGTGGCCTCGTTAGGGAAGTGGGCGATCTCCAGCCAACCTGTGAGTCGGTCAGCATATGCTAGGTACGTGTGGCCCCGCAGGTGGAACAAGTTGGCTACCACCTGTTGAAAGGGATAGTCTAGCGCTGGGGTCAAGACCAACGACTCCGGAGGCTGGGAAAGGGCGTGGGTCTCGCAAGCAGCACACCAAGACCGTTGATACTGCAGGTCACCCTCCATGCCAGGCCATTAGACAGACTGCTGGGCCCGCCTGAGCATGGAGTCGAGGCTCTGGTGCTCCACGTGCAGGTTAACGGCGACCCGGTGGCGGAGGGTTTAGGAAATGACAAGGCGCACACTGCCCTGGTCAAGGGTGTAGGTGACCATATTCCTGACTACAGCCAACCTGTCCCTCACCGAAAAGTACGGGCGCAGACAGGCCACCTCCTGCAACTTGTGGGGACGCCAGTCGCTCGCTAGCACTCTCGACACTAGCATCTGGTACACTGGATCGTCCGCAGCAGCTTTGCACATGGTGTCCTCGTCCATAGTGATGCACCCATCCTGATCCAGTGCTGCAATTGTGACCGCACAGACTGCAGTGCATAGGTCCCCCCCCCCCTCTTAGTCCATCTTCTCC